AACGTGAGAAAGGTTTTCTGTAACACCCGCGCTGCTTTATTTAGCTGTGGCATCTTTGGCAGCCGGTGCTAAATTCCTGTGTTACAGCAGCATTATTGTTTTATTGTTTCTCTAATCAATTAGAGCCAGGTATTATTGTGACATCTTTCATGAACATCTTTTCCATTTTCACAAGGTAAAGTGACTTCACCTCCAACTATGACAATAAATTTAATTTCTTCCAGGTGCTGCTGTTGAGGAAACAGCAAACACAACACTTTCTGTCAGTAATTAATACTTTACAAAGTAAACTGTAATATAAATACAAGTTTTTGATTGTTGTTTAAATATATGTTATATATTTGTTTCCTTACCTTTAAGTAAAAAAAAAAATCTAAAATAGAAAGATATTAAAAATCTTTGCTCCAAATTATGAGCTTTTTCTTCTTTTATCTCCTGTTCTCAGTCTAGCATCTCTCAAAGGTTTCTGTTGCACTCTGTCATGAGCAGAAATGTGGTATCTACTTCCTGTGGTTAATGTCTCCTCCCCATGAGACTATAGTGTTGTTTGTTTTAAGGTAGGTAAGCTCATAGTATCTTTCAGATTTGATTCATAACCAAAGACAAAAACAACATTTTTATTTAAAATGTTCTGAAACATAGTACATCCATATGCACTTACGTAATGTGTCGACAGTTGACTTTAGGAGATGGGAATCATGCATATTTTGTGTGGACATATTGCAATTATATTTGCAGCCTCAGACTATGAACACACAGATTCTGATAATTAGACAGCATTACAAAACTGTGCTTCTGCAGTAAGAGTCTATGTCAATCATATTATTTTACTTCATTGTTTAGTTACCATTTTTTGGATGTTTGATACTTGGCAATGCTGATACTATTTTAGAGGTGTGACAAATGATGCCGCTTCTGTTTTTCTGAGAACTGAGAAGCACTCAGGCAAGTGTGGTCACAAATCACAAGATATTCATCAGGTGTGATCAAAACAATGATGTCAGTCCTAACTGATCTATTATTATTTTGTGAGACTTATTAAATTTAAATGCAAAAAAAATGTTGCTAAACTCTAAATATAATATTTGCTAGAGGCTTTGTACATGTTTGTTTGTTGTGTTTTTTTTTGTGTTTTGTGTGTGTGTGTGTGTGTGTGTGTGTGTGCATTGTGTTTAGACATTGGTACAAGGATCCACAACAGCAGAATATCCTTGTCATCTGATCTGGTCTCACACTCGATGTCTGTATAATACAGTTCATGTCAGTTTTATGTATATAGTGCCAATTCACAACAGTCACCTGAAGATAAAGACCCTACAATATCAAAAGGAAACCTTAATAATCAGATGACCCCCTATAAGCAAACACTTAGCGACAGTGGGAAGGGAAAAGCATCCCTTTAACAGTCTTGATGAATGCTCAATCATCCAGGCAAGTAAATCACCAAAAGGTTGATTCTGATCATCTGGACCCTCCAGCCGATCCTCCAGCAGAACCAGTCTCAGGGACGGGCAGCTAGTGGTGGGCAAATGAAGCTTTCTGAAGGATTGAAGTGTGTATTCAAAAGGGGCTCATTACTCTAAACCTTTGAACACAGTCTTCTTTAGTAGCATCTGGTGGTCAGAAATATGAAGTGCGGCTTGCGTCTATAAATTAAAATCAACTTTTTCATTATGATTGTTCACTCTACAGAGCTAAGTTGACAGCTTCTTTTAAAATATCACATATAAACAAAATAATGTTATGTCTATTTGAATATTAATTAATAAACCTTCCTTGTTTAAACATGTAAAATGATGTGGTCTCATTTGTACTGTGACTACTTGACATTTGTAAACATGATAAATTAAAAATAAATCAATCAATGATGTATAGCAGAAACTAATAGACAGCATATGTGGACTCATTTGAAAACAAGATGTTACACTATAGTCTATAGGTTTAGCCACTAATAATAAACTAATAATTAAATGCAATCATAAATAAACCTGTAGAGCCGGAAAAGGGAGATTTTCTTTTTCATTTTCACCAAGTGTTTAATTGTTGGGGTCTCTGTGTATTTCTAAATGGAAATTATTCAGACATTACAAAAGAAAAAGAACCTAATGATGAAATCAGTATTGCATTAAAGCTTATGTTCATTGGGCCGCCTACAGTCTTCTATTAAAGGTTGGTGAAGACATTTGTCGCTGGACTTCTGTAAACAAGCTTTACATCAGAAAAGGTGATGCCATTTCCTATTTCTTATGAATTAAAAGGCAGAATTTCAGAGGAAGTTATGTAGTTACTATTGCCCAATTACCATTTAAATAACACAAAATCCTAAATTTAGTCATAACATTTTAATTCCATAATTTGGTATCTTTTGTGTAGATGTTGTTACGAAATCAGTTTCACCCCGGTTCTTTTATTCCTCGGGCATCCAGAGACGGCACCGGACTCAGTAGTCATTTTCACAAAAACCTTTATTAATCTTTATTCATCTTCATTTAAGCGTGCACTTCTAGAAGGGGAGATGTGCAAGGCCGGTGTCCCTCTGCAAATCTTCCCTCCTTTGTCTGTGAAACATAGTTTTGTAGAAGCGACCCTATCATAAAACCCCCATGGTGTGCTGCAAACTTGTGACTGTGTGTGTATACACGAACACGTGAGTGCCTGTGTGTGCACATACCCGTGTGTCCATGTGAGTGCACGTGAGTGAGTGTGCATGTAGGTGTGGGTGTGTCGTAACAGCCAAAGCACTGTGTGTGTGTCTCTGTGTACGTGACTTCCTGCCGGTCATAAAAGTAATCTCCTCACCCAAGCTAAACCAAATTCCTTTAGACAACATACAAAACAGAGTTAACAGATTACAAACACTGAGACCCCCACCCTGCATCCACTGGGCCATTGGCCCCTTGTTGTCTTACAGTTACAGATAAGCGTGTGGAGAGTCTCCTGCAAACCTACTTCTAAGTTTATAACAATTATGAGTTTTTATTAAAGGTACAAGCATCAGCAATCCCCAACTGTAGCTTCCTGTCTCCTTTTATGACAGGCAGACCCCCAGTGTCCATAAATTCCTGTCCCTCAACAATTACACACTCTCAGGCCTACAGCTAAGCCAAACTAAAACACACAGACAAATCCTTCCCTGTTCCTCTCATCTACTGCTGGACCCTCTTATCTAAGCAAATTTAACACATTATATTCTAATAATTATTTTCTTGTACTCACAATGTGCAATGCTGCCACATTTTATTCAGCAAGAAGAACTGAAACTGCAGTGAACAAAAGCCCATATCCTTATCGTTGTGACAGTCCAAAGGCAGGTAACAATACCGGGGTGAATGACTGGATAATTTACCACAGATGGGGAAGAAATGTGGGGGATTATTAAAATGGAAATTCTTATATAGTGAAGCAAGGTCAGGTTTATTTGTCTTAGATGGGTGGGCAAAACCAAAAATCCAAGTCAGAAATAACAGGGATTGAGCGTGGTTATTATCTTTATCTGCTAACCCAGGCTCTCAGGCCCTCAGGCTCTGCTCTCATACAAAAGAGCATTTCATCATTTCATTTTCTGACCAGGTGAGTGCAACTCAGTCCTAGTTGAGGGATTATCTGAGAAGTATGATTATTACATTAGAGACAAACAATCTCTAATTTAACTCTGACACAAATACTAAAGTGCTCATATTGACACAAAGATGTTGTTTGGTGTCCAAAGCTTACTTTGAAATAAGAACACGTGATATAAATTTCAAATTTTTTGAGTTGTTTTTAATTCACTCTTATGTCTTCAAGTGGCTTTTTGCATCCTGAAAAGGCAGAGAGCACAGCAATTAGATTCAAATGTCAGATTGTTTATCAGTGCTCTATCAGGATCTAAATCGTCTCATCTCTGTCTCTGAGGACAAAAACAGTGATTGCAGTCATTAGGATCACTGCTCCAATGCGAAGAGTCCACATGATGTAGCTCACAGGAAACTGATCTGTGTACTCTATGAAAAACAGTACAAAAAAATGTCATGCTTTTGTAACTTTATTATTAAAATCTGGTCAAATTAATGTTTGAACATTTGGAAACTACAGTAAATTACTTCTACAAATAAAACCAAAGCTTTATTTATTGAAGTGCATAATTCAGATTATTTTGAAATTCATTTAAGCTTCTTATCATACCTGTAGGTGCGTAGTGAGCTTCTATCTTCACACTGTTGTTCTTGATATACTGGCAGGTGTATGCTTTGTTGTGGGCCCTCTGAGGTTTCACAGTCAAAAGAGAAACGCACATCGGTCCAATGTCCCTCGCACCACTGCCGAGCAGCACAGTTCCTGTTTCGTTCAACTAGACGATGCTGTTCTCGCCACACAATTGGGAGTCAGAGTATTTGAAGAGAGTGCACGTTAATGTGATGTATCCATCCCAGTTTTGCGTCTGAGATGCTGCAACTGAGAGAAAACAGGTGATAAAAGAAATCTAAAACTCTGTAACAGGTCCTCAGAACTTTTCCCACATTTCAAACAAATTTCACTGGATTCACTGGTGAGATTTCACTTTTAATCTGTTTTTTCAGAGGTTGGCATGAATCTGAAACCTTTTAAATTCCCAAACTAAAACTGTTATATGATGTTTGGTCAAATCTTCGCCTCTTTCACAGTTTGTTAGTCTGCAGTTACTGCTTGCTGAATGTTCTGTGTACGCAGTTAATTTATTAAGACAAAAATGTAGTGAACATAACTGTAGTGTTTGGGAGGAGAGTCAAAGTGAAGAAAAGGATATGAGATTTGTCCAAGCTCAGAATCATTACAGTCTAAGTACTCACTGATCAAAATATGCAGACCCACAATTGTATCCTGGGCTGTAGTGTTCCCAGACCAACACCAGTAAAGGCCAGCATCTTCAGCAACAATGTTCCTGATGCCCAGGGAGCAGTTACTGTACAGACTCAGTCTGGCTGCTTGAGCTGAGTTCTCCATAATAGCGCCATTCCAAACCATTTCTATTGTCTCAGAGTTATCTCTGTTATAAAACCACGTAATGATGGAGCATGATGAGTTCAATGAGGATGTGTTATCACAGGGGAGAACGACATCATTTCCTGGTGTGTAATAAACATCGATGTAGGTTTCACTGATGCATGCTGCAAAGAAATAAACATGTTTATTCTACTTTCTTTTTTCTTTGAATTCATGTATTTACCTATCAATCAATACCAAGAAACAGGAAACTTAAATGTTCATTTTTTTTGCCCACAGCCTATAAGATTAATAGGAACCTCTCATACTCATGCTAATTTGAACTTTCTTTTTTTTTTCATAATCATTTCTGTGATGTAGGTTACGTTCCTTCACTTATTTTTCTGACTTTTATTTGAAGGCTTAAGTTAGGGTGGCATGATATTGTGATCATCAGCAATTGCTACATTTCAAATGATGTTATATTGCTAAATTATTTTCAGCCCCTGAAAATAAGGGGACCATGTATATAAAACCTGTATGATGTTGGTATATCTCATAGCAAGAAAGTCCTGGGTTTGAATCTGCTGGCCAGCTCAGGTATTTCTCTGTAGAATTTAAGAATTACAGCCATTTATAAATATGGTCCCCTTATTTTGAGTTAGTGAAAATAATTGAGCAAACTAACATAATTTGAAATATAGCACTTGTTTTTAACATTTAAAAATTCTTTGCAGTCAATGGCTGTCTGAAGTCTAAAGCCCATGGACATCAACAAATGCAGTTTTTCCTCCTTTGAGATCCTCTGCTAGTCCAGCCTTCAGTTGCTTTTTGTTTGTGGGTCTCTCTGCATTCAGCTTTGTTTTTAATAATGGAAAAATATGCTCTGTTGGGTTGAGATCAGATGCCTGACTTGACAAATGAATAACGCTACTGTGGCAGGATGTGGTTTGCAGCTCAGCTGCAGGGGAGGGGTGGAGTAGTGCATTCAATGGACAGTGCCAGGGAAGGCCTGCTGGCGCAGTTGATTTTCATCATCCTAACCACACCTTCCCTATTTCTAGTAGTTGCTGGGGCCTAGAGGAAGAGGCCCCAGCAACTGCTGGGGTTCTGGTAACGAGTGTTACAGTGGTGCCCAACTTCCAGGTGTGACATGTCAAACCCACAGGTACCGCAGCCAGTTCAGGTGGCCCAGATGATGGGCAGATGCAGGCAGTTGTGAATGGGAGGCAGCTAGAGGACCTGTAGGTCAAGACTGGGCGTGGACACTTCCACCAGGAGTGCCCATTCATGGAAGCCAGCCATGTGTTTGGTGTTGCTGAAGTCCCAACAGACTCCCTGGCTCAGGAGGCACGTACAGGGATCCAGTAAAGTCCCAAGGGGGTACACGCCAGGCTATTGTTGACACGGGCTGTACACAGACCCTTGTCTAACAAACGCTGGTTCAGCCAGGGAGGTTGGAGGCTGAGTTGGTGGAAGTTAGATGTGTGACATACCCAAATATCCCATAGTGCCACTGCAAATTAAACATAAGGGCAAGATGCATAGAGGAAAGACTGTGCATCCCTTAATTCTGGGGACAGACTGGCCAGGGTTTAATAACCTGCTGGGGCAGTGTGCGGGGATGCATGGCAGTTGTTGGTTTCTAAAAGCCGCCAGAAAATGATATCGCCGTCGGCTCTAAAACTCCATGGCAAGGCATATGGGATATGAAAAAACTCAGGTGGACTGGCATCTCTACTGCACGTTTTACCATAATTTTGGGTTGGTGCGATTAATGTACATAAGTTTAAGGATATAATGGTTTCATCTGTTGAAAGTTTTTTTTCTGAACTGTGCATGCCCTTGAAGTTTTTACCAGCTCTCTGACAGGTTTCTGTTTTTCTGCCTAATGATGTCCTCCATCACTTCCATTCTTCTATTTGGGCCTCATATTTAGAAATCCAGTGGAAAGCAACAGATTGAATCAAATTAATATATATTATTTGTTTTATTCGTCATGAGATACAAAAGAAAGAAAAAAGTCTCCCCCGGCCATGAAACCACTTGCCAGTCAATTGTACAATTGCCTCTACAAAGCCTCTGAAAGTGTAAAACAGCTATGATTTCTGAACAGTTAATGCACAATTTTTATAAGATGCCTTTAAATTAAAGCCAAAAGTCAGCATTGCAATCACATCTTGACTGTTTGAATTAAAATCCACTGGTACTGATGTACAGAGGCAAAACTACAAAAATCTTATCTGTCCATAAAGTTCTTAACTCTATATCGTCCCTATCAAGACCTGTGAAAAGATCAGTGTTTTTCTAGTAGCTTCTATCCTGTCATTTGCACCTCTCAGCCAACTGAAGATGTAAACATTATTCTAACAATGATATGCAGATTTCATTCTATAATTAATAATTAATAAACAATAGAAAAAAACAGTAATAAACAAGAGAAATATGCTGTATATTCAACTAGAATGAACACTTAATTGATTGCTATGTGCATAGCAGAATCTACAGTAGCTCTGCTTTGTGTGAAGCGCTGGATCATAACCTTTTCAGTTTTCTGTTGCGGTTAAAGTCAATGGAATTGATCAAATTAAGGTCCAAAATCTAAGAATACAAAGATGTTGTCATTTTGTGTTGGCAATTGATGATAATTTTCCTCATAGCTACAACAATTTAAATGTTCATATTTCATAGCAACATAGTCAAGCACAAAAGTAAGAAAAGAAAATCTGAGTAATTACCTTCAAACTGAAGCATAAAAATCAGGATTGTTAATAGTGAAGAAATGTGTTGTTGCATCTCTCTCTACAGGCTCAAATTAGGCTCTCTGGCACAGAAGAACAGAAGTGATAACATTTCCTGTTCCTGGTTTCCTGGTTTCAAAACTTGTGAAATAGTCCCATTCGTCACCCAATGTATCTGCACAGTTTGACGGTATGTATGAATCTGAATGTGGGTTACAGTCCCTGGCATTGGGCACTTTTTTGTTTGATCTTACTGCTGTTCTTGTGCTCTACATTCATTTATTTTTTTATTGTTTGAGTTTTCAATTCCCATTTTGATTTTGTTATTTTTGTAACAGTAATTTCTAATGATACTGTTGAGTCTTTGTCTGTTTTACTGTCCATGTTTTACTCTTCCTGCTCTCTGCCTCATCTTTCTCTGTTCTGTAAAATTAGCTTTGTGTCTTTTCTTGGTAATTATAACTGGACTTGCTCTCATACTGCTTTTTACTACAAGCCACCAATTCAAATAGGCCTTCAAGCACTTTTTCTAGCAGTCACACACACTCACGGCTACATCCAGGACAATTAGGAGATCAAACCTAGTCAAGAGCAGATGGAACCTGGGACTGAACTACTAATCTTAGAGATCTCTAATTGTTAGAGAACAGGTTCTACTGCCTGAAATCAACAGGTATGTGTGGCGGCGGTGTGATCTCTGGCTAAGCTGCAGGGGAGGATTGGGGCAGTTAAGCTCAAGTGGGTGGTGCCAAGGAGGCTGGAGGGACAGGTGGCGATGATTTTCCTAACTAGTTTCTCCCTTTTTATATAGTGAAGCCAGAGGCTAGAGGGAGGGGTGTTCGCAGATGACTAACTCAAAAGTTGGTGAACAGCGTGCCGAAACATAAAGCCACATGTGTGTTGCTTCAATAAACACTCCTCAAGTGAACAGCATCACAGTGTGTCGGGTCAATCTTTACAGTGTGATGTCATTACCTACTGACCAATCAGTTATCACAAGTTACCATGGTGGTTTTCCCCTCGTCACCGATAGAACTTATTGTCTTTTCAAATCTAAGGCAATTTGCCTTTTTAAAAATGTATTTATAGCAGCGACTTGCACATATTAGGTAGAATTAACCAGCTTATTTATTCTACCTAGAGGTGTGTAATGAGCTATGGAATCTGTGGTCTCTGTTCATCAGTGTTTAATGGATAAAAATCATCTAATCGTTATATATAACCTACCTATGAAGACTGGTGTGTAGTGAGTTTCCATCATCACATTGTTTTCTTCAACAATCTGGCAGGTGTATCGTTTGTTGTGGTCACTGTGAAGCTTCACTGTTAGAAGTGAAATGCATGTGCGTCCAGTGTATCTGACTTTATTAAGCAGCACAGTTCCTGTGTCATCCACCCAGCGGATGCTTATCTCGTCACAAGGGAGGCTACTGAGTCTGAACAAAGAGCACTTTAATGTGATGTTTCCATTCATCTGTAGGTCGGGGTTTGATGGAGATGCTGAAACTGAAAATGAGTGACGACAGTTACCTCAGCATTAAGAAAAAAGTGGAATGTGAATTTAAATGCAAGTTCTTTAATTTCTTCTTACTGTCACAGGTTTACTGAGTGATTGTCCTGTAGAAAAAGTACTTTTGCACATTTAATATATGTAACTTTCATCCAGATGTTACTGTAAAATCTTGCTCCTTTTATTGCATAGGCATATCGAGTTAAAGCTCAGACTCCACCAAAATGGATTCATTCAGTTACTCCAAATATGCCTAATGATGGATTAAAATCAAGGCTGGATCCCTCACAGAGCCTGTGGGGATGATGGATGTTTAATCCTTAGTGCGGAGTGTCATGCACAAATTTGTTTTTGAGGGAAAGGGCCTCAGAGATTTTTTTTTTTTTTTTTTAAAAAGGATATTAATGACCATGATACTCTGCAAAGACCGAAATCATTTATGTTCAAGTACTCACTAGTCAAAATATTTAGATAGACAGTTGTGTCCTGGCCAGTGGTCCCCTCAGGCCGACAGTTGTAAACACCAGCATCCTCAGTAGTGATGTTGTTGATGCACAGAGAGCAGTCACTGTGAAGACTTAGTCTGGTAGCTTGGGTTGAGTTCTTAACATCTCCATGATAAACCACCTGTGTTGTCTGAGATGGCTCTCTGTTGTAAAACCAGGTAACCATGGAGCACGTATCAGGCACCTTGTCACAGGGCAAAATGACATAATTTCCTGGTCTGTGATAGAGAAAGTATGGTTCACCACTGATTCCTGCTGCAAAGGAAAGGAAAGTTTCTGTGATGAATGACACGCATCATCCATCCTCTTCCCCGCTCACCCGTCCTTTTCAGGGTAGCAGGAGCCCATCCCAGCTGTCTTAGGGTGAGAGGCAGGGTACACCCTGGAGTGGTCACCATCAGGGTTAACACAGAGAGACAGACAACCATTCACACCTATGGGCAATTTAAAGTGACCAGTTAACCTAACTGCATGTCTATGGACTGTGGGAGGAAGCCAGAGTATTCAAACTCCACACAGAAAGACCCCAGCCTGATGGTGGAATTGAACTCGGGACTTTCTTGCTGTGAGGCAACAATGCAAATGCAACTAAACAAATAATGAACGTAGACCTTAACATTTGCAACATGCATACATAGTGCATGAGTTCTTATATGAATAACTTTCAATGATATCTAACTTTACTGTACATCTCATGTAATCCAAAATCAAGACTAATTAAAAATAAATTCTACATAAAATTGAGAATCACTCCAAATATAACTCAGTCATTATTACTATTCTTTTTTTTCTCCCAAATACTGGCTACTTTTTAAAAACTGTTACTGAAGCTTATGAAAGTGGCATCTCTTTATCATTTCTGCAAAATTATTCAAAGAAATTTAACATAAACTGTCATGGCATTGCAGGATAGAGGACCCAAATGCAGACCCACGGTGACAAACTTTAGAAACACAAAACAACCTTTTATTTTGGCCTAGCATCATGAAAAAAAAGCAGATTTACCTTCAAACTGAAGCACAAAAACCAGAAATAATTTCCAAAGAGCCATTCTGCACCATTCCCTGTCAGCAGGCACACACTGTGAGGTATTTCTCTTTCTTTATGTTGCTGCTGTTTTGTCTTTGAGCTCATCACACGCCACCCATTCTGTCATGAGTTTGGATTTCTTCACATCCGTGTCTGCAAATAGACAACACGCAAGTGCTTTCAATGAAAGACACTGCTAACAGGCTGTTTGATTTATTTGCTCTGACAGTCTTCCAAAATTAAATATATACATCAGTATCATTTACCCAGCTGAGTACTGTGTTGTGGTTCAGTTGTGAGGAACTGTTGCTAGTGCAAAATTTTTCTTTGCATAGTTTGTTATTTCTGTTTCCTTTGTTTATTGTCATTTTGGGACTGCCATCTCCCCTTTTTCTTTTTCCTATATATTTTTATCAGCACCTTAAGCTTAACCTAAAAATAAAATCAGTTGATTTGAATCTGGACTTGTTGACTTGTTTCCCCATTTGTTTCCCCATTTGGACATCTAATTGTTATTCCTCCTCATAGTTCTATGATTCTGACATGACACTACACACTGTGGACGCTGAGGAGGACAACCCGAGTAATGACGGAGAAGGAATTAATTTAAACAGGAACTAAGAACTAGAACTTAAGTAACAGAGGCACTCTACACTGAACATCGGAAACTCAATATTCTGCAAAAATCAAGAACAAGTCAACCAAGCTCAAACACCTAGGTCAAATACCCAGGACCATGAGGAGAACAATTTAATTTATGGATGACTTAAACTAAAAAATTAAATAACATGTCAAAAACACTCACACACACAATTATACAAAAACAACTTTTTACTTCTTTAGTTGGATGAACTCATGTATTTTACGGTAATGCTGCCATATTTCATGTTTGTATGTATTTGAAGCTGACAAAGATGTAGGGTTATGTTTATCTCTGACAACAGCAAGCTTAAATAAAAGCAGTGACATTATGAGATGTTTTATTTCCTCTGATTTATTTTTGGTAAGTTTAGCTGATGATACTGTAGAAGCCGCTGGAGTCACTTTCTACCTTTGTCTTCACTGCAGAATAAGTCACCGCTTCCTCCTTTTTAACCTGTATAACAGAAAATTAAAGGATTTAAATAATTCAGACCATAACAAACACTAGAGAGTAGAGTCAAAGGAGCTTGCAAAGATGACCTGGATGACTGAGAACCTTCACAGACACTAGAGAGTAGATTTTTTTTTTTTTTGCTTTTTTTGTTTCTCAAAAAATTCACTGATTCAAATCAAATGGGTTAATGAATAAAATATGAATCTACAACTGTTATATAGCCCAAAAGTAATTTTAAAATGGAATATAAGTAAAAAACAAAAAAACAATAGTTACAGTTTTCCTCAGTGAGGCATTTTGATCAGTGTGGTCAATAGTAGCATAGGTGATGCTGCTCTCTGGCTCATCCTGAAAGCAAACACAATGGTTCAAAAAGCAAAGACATGAATGAAAACTACTTTAGGTTCTATTTCAGACACATGATGATCAAACATAGTCTCAAAAACTAAATGTTAACTTTCAAATAAAGACTTGATTTTGGCTTTACTCTTATTTTAGTAAAATTCTGTATAAAAGGGTGAAACTAACCAAAAACCCTTTTAAAACGTCCACTAAAATCAGTGAAGTCAGAGAAGAGGAATTACAAGCAGGCTGAGGTTATTATGCCATTGTGCCAAAAAAAAGTAATTGTTGTTCCTCAGTTACTCATTGCATCTCAAACCAGCTTTAAACTGCTGCAAAGTGCACCTGTCCACTTAGTCACAGGTATGTATTTTTCCCCTCTCTATCCATACAGACTTTAAATAACAGATGGATGTAGTGTTCTGGTTTTAATGATTTAATATAATGAAGACAGTACCAAGAGAGGATGCTTTAAATGCATGTGATTATGCATAGCAGATGTTGATAGATGTTTGATATATCTGCCACTGTCGATTTGACTTTTGCACACATTACATATCGCATTGGTTTCACCTACAGTACTGATTGTAAAATGCATAAAATTCGACACAACTACACAAGTATTGTTCTAACCTTTTAACCGAACGTTAACGTTACTCTGTCAACAGCCTATTTGTAAATGACCGAGCTAACAGAGCTATACAGAATGAAGACTGCAGTCATCAGTAATGCAGCGTAATGGAATAATCTCCTGATCTTCGCAAAAGCTATAAACAGCGTCCGGAACCCAGTTAAGGTACAAAAAAATCTATTCAACAAAAATAGTGATGCAGTTCAGTCTTTTTTCGCTCAGCCGAACTGTCTCTGTAGCAGAGGCGGAGCCAGACATTTGAAACACCCGGGGCTTAGCCCAAAAGGGTAGTATGCATGTGGGATTTTTTTTTTCTTTTGGGGGGGGGGTAGAAATGACTGAAAGATTAATTGGCTCTGTTTGTCAGTCACCTCTTTCACACGTCACTCACTCATCCAGTCATGCACAGCGGTCTCATGAGGAAACTCAGCTTTTTGATATAAAGTTTTTCTTGTTTTTTAAAATATTTGTTTGAAATAAGTATTCGTAAAAAAACCACGTTATTTGTGCCTCTCCAAATATCGTATTCGGGTTCAGCATACACAGTAATCTGATGAATCCAGGTTTAACTGGAATACTTTAGACAGCAAATTAAGCCAATGAATTATATAAATAATAATTTAATTTATTACTATTTTCATTACTATATTTATTATAGATACATAAACTATTTACCGAGATCAACTGGCCCAAGACTCCTTGAAGTATTTCCTCATTCTAAACAAGAAAAGGGAAGAACACATTGTCATCATATACTGTGGCACGGTCAGCATGTTGCAATTTTCCGAGTGATCAGTGGCAATAATGTGCAAGAAACAAGTTCATATGTAAAGGTTATATTAATATTAAACAAAGGTATTTCTGTTATATCTGAAAACATATCATATATAGTGTGGATCAATATACTTACATGTTTGGGTTGGGTGGGTTTTTTTTGAATGTCTGGAAGAAAAAGTAGAATCAATAATCACAATGTAGAGCTTCTTCGGGGCTGTGGCCCCCCCACACCCTCTAGCAGATCATTACATGAAGGAACTTTTAAAAAAAAAAAACAAGTGCGTCCATGCTCACAGGTGTACACACGGGTGATCACACCCACAAACTACACCCTTTTTGGCTTCTACCTCAACGCACACTGTGTTCTGTTGATCTTACGTGCTGCACAATAATGTTTAATATTTAGTATTTACTGTCATATTCCCATATATCATTGTGATGTTGTTTATTCTATTACTCTTGTTCTCTTCTGCTTGTTTTCTTTTTTCTTTCTCAACAGGTGATCCAGATGATCGATAGATGCATTTTTTTTTTCTGTCCGTTCTGTTGGTTTTTGTCTTTTGCCCTTCTCCCCCGTCCCTCTTCTCAGCTGTTTCTCTTTCCCTCTTTCTTTCTCCCCTTCTTTCCTCCAGTCAAGTCTGTCCCGTATTCAGCAAGTGAAAATAAAATAAACAATAAAAGGTGAATCAAATGGACCATTACGGAAAGGCTGGGATGGTCAGTTTGGTAAAGTAAATCCGTTGGGCATCTTTCTTTGCCTTTAGACAACAATTCTGATGGCAAAAGAGCCAAACGGGACAGGCAAAAAAAACCAAAAAAAAACAAACAATGTAGAGCTTCTTAAATCAATTTTCCAGTGCAAAGTATATTAGACTGAAGTAACCGCAGTGAAAATGTAGCATTTTCACAAGTTAACATTAACCTGCAATTATTGCAGATTGCTCAAAATGGGATAGAGCTCTTGTAATAATATATAATAGTAATAATAATATTAGATGAACTAGATGATAAGTAGATGACCCAAGAATGACCACATTTATATGTACTATAATTACTAACCCTCTGTCACTTTAGCACGCCTCCTGTATTTGATGAAAACAGCAGCGATGACGGCAACCACCAGCACCAGCATCACAGCACCAATGATGATGAAAGCCTTGTTTGGGGTGGAATCTGTCAGAGGATTCAAAGTAGTCAGCATTAAAAGTCTTTCAAAAGTCATTAAAAAGTATGTAATTCACTTTTTAAAAAGTGACTCACTCTTATATCCCATCTTATCTTAATTTACTTTTCTTATTGATGTTATCCTACCTATGAGGACAGGTGTGTAGTGAGCTTCTATCTTCACAGTATTGTTATCTTCAAACTGGCAGGTGTATCTTTTCTTGTTGCCACTCTGAAGCTTCACAGTCAGAAGAGAAACACACGTGCGTCCAGTGTTCTTGACATCTCTGTCCCACAGCACACTTCCTGTCTCATCCACCCAACGCATACTGTTTTCTTTACAAGGAGAGGGATAGTATCTAAACAGAGAGCACTCTAACGTGACGTTTCCATCCTCCTTTGGATCAGTGTCTGATGGAAATGCTGAAACTGAGCAGAGAACACGAGTGAAAACAGTTATGCAAGTTCAAAACATCTGGATTATCTTCCTAAATGTGAGAAACCTTATGAGACATTACAAATAAGTTCTATTTTTCTCCTGGTATTTTAATAGCTTAAATAAGTGATTATCTAATAGTAGTTTTACTCATTTAGAATATAAAATTTGAAATGAATACATAAGCCATGGCCAGATTTACTGCTCTCATCCAATGAAATAAAAACTCTTTTCATTTAAAGACCTGTCTCCATGTTTCAACACGAGAATTTTAATTCCCCAAGAAGGTGATACATTCAATTACATGACACGTGTAGAGGGAAATCAATGCTGTATAATAGTAAGTGTGGTGATAATGGGTGTGTTTAATGCTTAATGTACGGTGTCATTCACAGATATGGATATATGGAAGTCCATGGAAGTCTAAATACTCACTGGTCAAAATATTTAGGTCCACATTTGTGTCCTGATCAGCGGTCCCCTCAGGCCGACAGAAGTATTGGCCGGCATCCTCTGCAGTGATGTTGTTAATACTCAGTGAACAGTTACTGTGCAGACTCAGTCTGTCAGCTTGAGCTGAGTTCTTCTCAACAATTCCATTATGAACCATATTGATTGTCTGAGACCCGTGTTTGCTGTAAGCCCAGATAACCATGGAGCATGTATCAGGAACATTGTCACAGGGCATAATGACATCATTTCCAGGTGTTAGATACAAGACGTGTTCGGTTTCACTGACGCCCACTGCAAAGAAAAGAGCACATTCATATAAATGTGTATATAGCACACATGGTCATCTTCAAACAAAAAAATGAATAAACTGAGTGCAAGAGGTTTGTCCCCCCCCCTTTTTTCTTTTTAGAATCATTCAATGTCCAAAATATTTCTTTGTATTATACTGAAATGGCTTTGGATTTGTTAGAAGATCACAAATCAAGTTTAAATTTGTTTCCAAACTGAACTCACGCTCATGCCACAATTCTGTCTTCCGAAATATTGACTAATAGGGCTTTGGAGTTGACGTCACGCCGC